ATATATGTATATATATATAAAGTGGCCCTAGTTTTATAGGGTGTTAGTATTCAGATTTGTACAGTAGTATATTAGTGTATTTCCCGTCTTTTCCAAAAATAGCTCCGCCGACGTCAAACTTAAAGTTTCTTTTTAGTATCAGGTAGAGTGTAACTTTAAGAAAATGACTATGGAAACAATCTACCAAAGGATTTTATTTAATTATTTTTTGTAAACCATTTGACTTAAAGGTCGAAGTCATTAAAGTGTGATCAGTTCTTAACGAAATGCTGACACATTTTCATATCAGTGATCACTATTAAATTGTCCTTTATCATGTTAGTGGGTAACACTGTGACGAACACAAAGGTAGCTCGGCTACTTCAATCATAAATACAAAATTTGAAAAAAAAAAAATGAAATCTGTCAAGTGATATTTTTTAACGACTTGTATCTGTCAAAGCATCAAGTTGTGTAGTGTGTGTGTGTGTGTGTGTGTGTGTGTGTGTGTGTGTGTGTGTGTATAGGTAGCATGGTGCAAATTAAATGGTATAATTTTCAATGTGTATCCAGATCATTGAACAAACTTCATTAAGTTTCAGGAAATTAAATTTGAATTCCCAGTAAAAGGATGTTGTGCTCACGTATGAACCATGTGGCTGTGTGTCATTCCATGGTGTCGATGCTGCAGAAGAAAGAACGTAAGCTCTCCCTCTTTGACCTGACGGGTGTATTGGCGCTCAGTCAATACCGGTTACTGCTCACTTTACACTATATTGTGTCAGATGTTTCACATTATCTTACATGTATCCCCTTACTGACAGTACTGCACACGCATACATTCAAAACCTAGTGTGTACCTCCTGGTTTGCAGACTTGTGAAGAGATTATTGTAAAAAAAAAAGAAACCATGATTTAAAAAAAAAAAAAAAAAAGGTTTGTAATTAAAATGTTTACTGTTGAATATTTTAACAGATTACAACTAATAATTTAGCACCTTGACACTCCAAACCGGTTGAATTAACCACTTCACTGTTTAATCACTGCTGTGTTCCAGATCATGGAGCAGTTAAATGTATAGAAATATGCAAAAATAGTGTTTTAGTTGTGCTGATTGCATTGTAAATCATGTTGATAGTGTAATCACTGTTTTTTGAAGCTCTAACTTTTTTGATAAGTGGAATCCATTGGTTGGATATTATTTATTTGTAGGATGGGTTTCATGTAACAATGGACTGGATTGATTGAGAGATGAAAAACGGTAATAAAATAACACTGGGCTCCTGCAGGACACGTGTGAAGTGTTAATTATTATCAAAGCAGCGTTTTTCACATTTGTTCACAATATTCTACACAGTTCATTGGCTTTGTTTGTATTTGTCTTCTAAATAAATATAGGGAAACTGTTTTGCATATTGTCCCTTTAAAAAAAGCCTCAATACTGCTTACACATTAATGCAACAGTGATTGACATCTAAGAGTACAATAACATACCACTCTGAAACAGGCATTCTGCACAAGTTCTGTTACTCTTGATATTTTAAGTATATTTTGCAAATAATATGTTTACTACTACTTTGACTTGAGTAAAGGATGTGAATACTAGCCGATGCTTCCTACTGTGAAAAAGGAGGAATGAAGGCGGCTTATGGATGCAAAGCACAGAATGTAATGTTTTAAATGTATTTCTTAATTATGTTTCTTGCTGTGAGCATGGGTGTTGACTCGGAGAATGTTTCAGAATATGTGTTAAGTGTGTCCGCTCTTAAATTAACTTTGGTCAATTCTTATTTGAGATATTCCTAAAACTCACTCTTAACATTATGTGATATACAAAAGCTAAATGACTAATGCAATTACCAAAGTTACTCACCAAGTCTGAGGTAAGAAGCTGCTCTGAAGGCGGTATGGTAACTGATACTTCTGTAACTCTTGTCAGATGGCAGCATGGTGAGTATTTCCATTGTATGTGGATTTATACTTCTGCTCCATTACATCTCAGAGGCAAATATTGTACTTTTTACACTATTACATTTATCTGACAGCTTTAGTTACTTTTCAGATTACAATTTCTTTCTTACCCTCCCTGTCCAGTGAAAACCATATCTCCAAAATGTGTGTTTTTGAATGTGAATGTTTCTGGTAAATTGAATGATTAAGTGTTCCTTTGTGTGTTGAGAAAATGTCCCTGCTTCTTGTTTCTCCTACTTCTTCTTTCCTAATAGTAAAACACTAATAGGTAACATTTTACTGCACAATGACTACTTTTACTTTTCACACTTAAATGAATTCATGGTGATAATACACTTTTACATTAGGACAGTATTGAATGCAGGATTTATACTTGAACTGGATTATTTACAGTTTAGTATTAGCTAGTATTTCCAGTTAAGCGATCTAAATACACCAACCACTGCAAAGCAGTTATTCAGTCGCCTCTAGATACATTAGTCAATACGTTCACATAGAGAATGAATTAATCAATCAGTTAAACTTTACAAATGGACTTCAACGTGCTTTAAAAGCGAATGACGAGGAATGAAGGAACGCTTTTAACGTCATGTGTTAATTCACATAAACACACCACACTAGTTTACATAGGAGCCTAAGCTGTAATGCTGCACCACGGCACATGTCCGCTGTGACACACCGTACTGGAATATGTGCAACATGAAATAGTGTCCGGTTTGCTGTACTGAAAGTCATGGCAGGTCCTGATCTGATTAGAACTCTTCTGTATACTGTCAATAACCTGCTGCAGCAAGAGAAGTACAAAGCGGCATTGGCAGTGTTGAAAGGATTCAGAAACGGCGCTGTGTAAGTAAAACGATTAAATAAACGAGCTAGTTAGCTAAGCTAAGCTAACTTAGTGTAGTTTACCTCTTCACCACATAGCTAGCTAGTAGCTAACAGGTCTGCACAGCTGTAGCACTACAGTGGTGGCTGTCTTTGGCAGCCTTCAGCCACCGTGGTAACAATTGACAACAAATAGTATCAGCAGCAGGTTGTATTGACTGTACTAGCAGCACCGAGGATGCTTGTTTTGTAGCCAGTTGTGTTTCCAGACAGCACTGACATAATAATGTTTTTTTTGTTTTTTTTCACTCAGATATGGGGCCAAAATCAGAGCACCACATGCTCTGGTAATGACATTTCTCTTCAGAAGTGGCAGGTAAGGAATTGAGCTGTAATTGTTTTTTTAAGAAACAGTCCCTTGCTATCACAATGCATGTCTCTAAAGTCTAAACAAGTCTTTTCTTCTCGCTAATAGTTTGAAGGACAAGCTCAAAGCCATTCTGAAGGCCACGTACACCCACTCCCACAACCTGGCATGCTTTGTGTTCACATACAAAGGACTGCAAGCCTTGCAGGAGAGATGCCAGGGGAAGAGGTTGCAGTCTCACTCCTTTCTGGCCGCCTGTGTTGGAGGGTGGTTAGTGTTCGGAGATAACAATAACATCAATAGCCAGGTACCATGTGCCCGCAGACCAAAAAGCCCTATTCGTACATCAACGAGCACATCGTCATAAGCTCAAGCGTTCAGTGGGTTAAAACTCTCTGCTCTTCTCTAGATCAACATGTACTTGCTGTCTCGGATCCTGTTCGCTCTCTCTCGGCTGGCTGTAGAGAAAGGACTCGTCCCCCAGCCTAAACACGACCCTTTCCCCCTCTTTGCCACGCTGGTGTGGGGCATTGTCTTGTGGCTGTTTGAATATTACCCTCACACCCTCCAGCCCTCACTGCAGTCCTCCATGAACTACCTCTACCGCGACAGCAACGTGTGGCATGACATAACGGACTTCCTTGTTTATAATAAGCCAAGGACTGCTGCTTGAAAATCACGTTGTTTTTCTCACTACGGACCAACTCGTGTATCAGACAATACATGAGTTGCATTATCATTATTGTTATTTTTTATAATTATTAATGTTCCCAGAATTATTAAATGTTGCCTTTTAAAATGAATGTTAGATAATAGTGTATATCGTTTTGCGTGTCAACTCACACCAAGTTTCCAGTTGAGTAGATAGAGACCAGTATATGTGCACACCATTATTAGTATTAGACTAAATCTGCTTTAAAGGAAACATTTGTCACCTTTTACCTGGCGGTCCAATCAGTGTTGATGGTAAATGTAGTCCATTGAAGGACTTCCTCAGTGCTATATTGACTGGTGAAGCTCATTTTTCCTGTTGCTGTTCAGTCAGTTCCTACATGTACCAGAATGCATCGTTTCTGAGCTTCTGACACCCAGCCAAACATAGTGTAGCCCGGTTGTGTCTATACTTATTCAGGTAATAAAATAAAAACACAGTTTAGTCCCAACAAGCGTAAACCAAGACCGCAACAACAGCTATTATGTCCCACATTGTCAATGGCAGCGCATTCCAGCTTCACTCCTTTGCTCTCGGCTGCTCAGGTTCTGGAGGCTTCCCACCGGCCACGTGCTCCACGCTGCATTTCTTCGGCCTTAATCTCTGGCTCGAATAAATCGGCCAATAAGTCAAGCCAAAACAAAACACTGTGAAATATGCACTTTACAAATCCTCGTCCGTAACATCCTGTGCACTTATATTTTGTGATGCCATTTTCGCTGTTTGAAACGGTAACGGTAACTAGTTTACAATAACAGCGAAGAGAACAAAGAAGTTTCGTTTTTGAGCGGCAGCTAGTGCATGCCCTCTCGCTACCCAGAGAAATGCTGAAATATTCCGTAATTCTTCCGACCACCAACTACGTCATTGTCACGTCAAGTGACTGCGCTGGATGAAGGATGAACAGATTTTGCAGCAGACACACAGAACATCAGCAACAACTGCAGGTGTTTTCAGATTGTGTCCCTTACCTGGATATATGAAAATAGGCAAATTTTCCCTTTTTAAATATCAATATCTTTATATACGTAGTGTTTTTTTTCTGTTGCTATTTTGGGTGATTGTAGAATTGATGGATTTTTAATTACCAGGGCTACGCCACTTAATACAGCTGCCACAGAATACAAAATACAATCAAATAATTTGTATTTAAAAATGGCAACTGTTAAATACTTGATGTGCATGTTGAAGTTATTGTCAATGTACTCATTTTTATGATGTATAAAAGCCGAAGGTGTGCCATAATTATATATTTAACGAGGACGGAATGAAATTCTGTTTCAGTTAAACCCGATTCCTGTTATTTTTTCTTCAAAGGCTTAATCAGTTTTATAATTCAATATTCATCCAAAAGGCATTGAGCTCCAACTCAGTCATTGCCTTGTTGATTTAGTCGACCATGTTGCCGTATAGTGCAGTATCGACTTCTGTGTTTGATACAGTTTTTAAATACTTTTACTTGAGTATTTTCATTCTACTTGCTGCTACTACTCCACAGGAAAAATAATTGTGTTTTTGTTAACTCGACTCCACTAATTGCATTTGAAATGAAAGTAGTTATTGGCAGATTAAAGCTTTGCTTGTTAAACACATGATCAGTTTATAATATATGATGGAATGTTCTTAAATATATTAACCCAACCGGATCTTAAGCAAATGAAATGAGCTCTGCCTGAACCAATCAGATTGCTTAATTTGATCTACCAGTTTTATCAATAAAATTCATCCTCAAGGAACCTTGACATAGTTTTATAAAATTTCATAGCAATCCATTCAATAGTGTAATATTTCTGACTGACCGACCCCGTCTTTCACAGAGCCACGCAGCTAGCGGCTCAAAATCCTAAAATTGTCCATTGTGCCAACTTTCCTTGCAGGGTATTACTAGTATTTCTTTTATGTTTAAAATATGTTACCAAGTATTACATTTCACTCTGTGATATGGCGACACCAGCTACATAAATAGACAGAGCAACAATCCTTGTCGTGACTTCAAGTCTACTGTATATTCATTCTCCAAAAATGCCACCCAACCCACTATGCTGTACATACCTATCATTTTAAGTGGATGACTACTCTACCATGGAACATGATTTGCGCAATAAAGCTATTTTGTCTTTGAGGCGAGTCTAAATACCACTGAAAACACCAACCACCTCCACACGTACTCCCATGCCCCTGTACTGGGGCAGAAGACACTGCGTCCTTGTGTCACAATGTCAAGGCGGCGGGCAGTGGATGAAAGGGCGTCTGTGTAGAGAGAGAGAAAGAGAAATATCCTAGTTATGCATGACTGAGTCTGAAAAAATATTACCAATTAAATGACATGTAAGGACTTTTGCCTTGTAGACTTGAGGGAGTTGGGAATTGGATCGAAACAATCGCTGTTCTATAAAATCTAGTTTTAGTTGTGAGCTTTTGACGGTGTGATTTGTCACAGCCCGGCTCTAAAACTGTGACAAAAACGCCAGACACACGGGTATGCTTAACAAATTAAGTGATTTATTAACCGAAAAATAAGTCAAACAAATGGACGGGTGGAATCTTTACAATCAGTATTTTTGGGAGTGGGTGCTTGAAAATGTGCTGCATGGGTGTTGCGCTGTGAAAGGAAACCAAACGCCACAACAAAGGTATAGAGTGAGAGTAGCTCCGTCTTCAAATGTCTTCTGCTGCTCAGGCTTTTTATGCATGGGGCACACTGGGCACAGTTACCGCTGATTACTCCTCAATCAGGTCTGCAGCCCCGGAGACAGCGAGCACAGACGCAGCAGAGGAACCAAACAGAGGGGCTGTCACAGATTAACAACTAAAATCAAGAAATTCAAAATGATTGAATTTGTCAACAAAGCCAAACACACAGTGAAAAGTGAGAATGTAACGTTAAAAGCAGAAGAAAGCAAAGGCGCTCTTTATTGATTTATCTGCTCTGGAATTCCTGGAAGGTCTCTGACCCTGAGTACAAAAACCTGAATCACCTTTTGCTTTTCAGACTATTTTGCAGCGGCTTTAGTTGGAATCTCACACAGGGTTCAAAGGGCAGAGACATGTAGCATGATGCCAAACTAACCCACTATACTAACCCACTATAACATGATATCACATGCTGTGAAAAAATACTTTTAGTATAAGAAACTAAGAGTTTGTAAATTGTATGAAGAGATGACTAGTTTGCGTTTTCACTTGTGCTCAATGAAATAGTATTATTTCTCCTGCTATGGGATCATATCTTTATTCCAAAGAATTTGCAGCATCTTGCAAGTGTTCACGCCCAGCAAACCATTGTAGTGACGCTCTGTCCGCCTGTTGAACTGGGTGACTTTAATTGCTTACGTAATTACTTTACGCATTCAACTGTCCACCTACAACTCAAGCAAGGAGTGGTGTAACATTTTGTGAAGTGTTGTAATACACATGACTTGACGGCCTTGGTAACAATTGAGGAAAACCAGTTTAATTTGACACATCAACAAGTGAAATGCTTTGCCCCACCCTTTCAGAAGGTGGGGCAAATGGTTATATAGCAGCAGAGGGTGAAAGCAGGGATATCATTGCATTGAAGAAAAAGAGATACCAACAAATGGAAGGTGAGATTTGTCTTCACAAATGCAAGCGATCTATTTCTCCACTCGTTTGTCGTTTTATCAGTTAACTGTAGCCTTCTTCGCGTTCTGTCTTCTAGTGGCTTCTAACAGGTAAACGTGTTTTTCTTTATCAGTATCTTGACTTCTTGTTCTTCATTTGCAGACTTGAAAATAAAAAATGTCAACTTGGAAAGATCTGAAAACATGGAGAGACACAGGACAGAGGGCTTCAGCAGCTCCAAAAGCCTGGTGCTGCGAAGAGGAGCCCCTCTCAGAATCAGTGTGCAACTGGGGGGCCGAGCCTTCGACCCCAAGACCGACTCTCTGAAGATCAAAGTCATGCTAGGTAGTCTAGATTTAGATTTTTGGGCATGAACGGCTATTGTATGCAACCAGACTTAACCTTTGCTAAATTGTCTCTCTTCTCTCCTCAGGCCGCCTGTATGTGGTAATTCCAGTCACTCTCTCCAAGAAGACTTCTTCCTCCCACTGGAAAGCCTATGTTGACCCAGAGGGCCGGGACCTCCAGAACCTCTCCATATTCATCTCCTCTCCTGCCTCCGCCGCGGTGGGCTGCTACAGATTTCAGCTGTATCTGTTCACTCCGGGCAGAAAGAAGACCTGCATGTTCGGCAAATTTATCCTGCTCTGCAATCCCTGGTGTCATGGTGAGTCAACCCAGTGATGCGATCAGAAGCTTTTTATGAAGATCATTCAAAGTGATTTTGCAGCAAACCAAATCAGAAATGTAGCAATATATATGGTGTATGTGGGTGAATGAGTTCATGATGATGTATTGCATACAGTCATCACCTTTACACGCGTATTAATTGCTTTTGTGGTCGTCTGATCGCTACAGTGCTGCAGTGTGAATCATCAGAGTAAATGTCTGGCGCTGGTGTAGAGAGCAATGCATTTTAAAATGTCAATGCACAAGGATGTTCTAAATGTATTGTTGTGTTTGTTTCTTGCAGAGGATGCTGTGTATATTCCCTTTGAGGACCAGAGAGAAGAGTACGTCCAGAACGACTCTGGGCTGCTGTTTATAGGGGCACCTATGAATATCGTGTCAAGACCATGGTCCTTCGATCAGGTATGAAAAATAACGACCTATTTGTTAATCAGAACTTTTTGCACAAAGTACAATGAAATTAAGTGGCAATCCTGACGTTGCATACACATATCTCAAACATTAATAAAAAATAGAGAACAATGAAATAATATATATATACATATAACTCATCCACTCAATTTGACATTTGCCAGTATTATTTTAAGGCAAATTAAGTATTTTATATTTAAGTATTTTAAATATTCTTTCTACAGTACATCATATATGTGAGTTCCTGCATTTTTTTCCTCTTAACTATACCTGAACATCACTCGCCATCATTTATGACATTTACGACATTTTGGGGCGGTTGAATATGTCCAGTAAACTAATTTATCAGAAATTCTTGTTAATATAGTGAACATCCAGGTATTTCTCACGTACAGAACATCCAAATACTATGCAGTTGAATTGCACTACATACTCAATTTGACATACTATGGATAGTATGTTTTGAATAGAGCCTTCGTCTGTTGATTTCCATTAAGTAATAAGTATAGTATTTATTGTGGTGCTGTTGTAGTCGATTGCATTTCAAGTGACGTCAATTTCATTGATGTAGCCCCAATGTCACAAATCACAAGGTTTGCCTCGAGGGACATTTCATTATAACGTATTGCTTGTGTCCACTTGCAGGATATTCTTTTGATCCTTGAGTTGGATTAAACATAAAGCATGTATTTGTCTATTAAGTCTCTTATTTCTTCCTATCTACCTGTGTAGTTTGAGCCTGGTGTTCTGGAGGCGTGCCTGAATCTGCTCCAAGTCAGCCCTCAGCACCAAAAGAGCAGAAGAAGGGACTACATGAACAGAAACAACCCCATCTACATCAGCCGGGTCGTGTCTGCCATGGTGAGTGCGAACAGATTCAGAGTATAAACACAACATGAATACAGAAACTTCACAACATGAGCGTCCTTCTGCTTATTAAAAGCATGTTGGGGCTTGAACTGGAACACTGTGTTGTGCGTATGAACGCACACCTCGTGCCAAGTTTTGAAAACAAAATGGCACACTGTGGTTATTGCAGTTAAACAGGTGATAACAGTAGTTATTAAACTGCCACTAAGGATCAGAATCATCTGGGAAGATGTGAGATGTCCCGGTTTGCTCTATAATCTTTTGGAACTGACGTGCAAAGATGGAAAATTGCATTCATCATCTCTTTTATGTTCAGATCAACAGTGAAGACGACCGCGGGGTGCTGAAAGGGAAATGGAAAGGGGACTACAAAGATGGAGTTAATCCCTCCTTGTGGACGGGGAGTGGGGACATCTTGACCCAGTGGGCTGAGTCTGGTTACAGTCCAGTCAAGTATGGACAGTGCTGGGTGTTTGCAGCCGTCATGTGCACAGGTGATTATATCATGATGAATCTAAACTTTTGAAATATAATCATATCATATCAGTCAAACAGTCTTTAGTCTTTACTGCTCAGTACTTTTCGTACAAGTCTTCAATAGCAAGTGCTATACGACATCATGATTGATGTCATTTTTTTTCCATTACGCAATGTTCCGATCTGAGTCAGAGTGTTCAACGCCTGCGTCTGTTTTTTTTTTTTTTCAGTCATGAGAGTACTTGGCATTCCTTGCCGCGTCATCACAAACTTCAACTCTGCTCACGACACCAATGACAACCTGGTGATTGAGGAGTACTACAGTGAAACAGGGCAGAAGCTGAACCTCAGCAAAGACAGCATATGGTCAGTGGTGATTTACCTTTTTCATTTGTTAACATGCCAAATATGATCAACAGTTTTTTGTGAAAATGAGCCTGGCTTAGCACTTTTTTCACACAATTTAATGACATTAATTTCGTTTTGAGAAGCAAGCCTATTCATGCTTTGTGATGTGTTGTTTTGTCTCTTCTTTACAGGAACTTCCATGTGTGGGTGGAGTGCTGGATGACCCGCCAGGATCTGGGATCAGGAATGGATGGCTGGCAGATTCTTGACCCGACCCCCCAGGAGAGGAGCAGAGGTGTGTGGGAAATCTATCACTTTTCTGGTCATGTTTGAACTTGTTCTCTTGAACAAGCGTTGCCATAACTTTCCTTTCCTTCTTCTTTTATTGTAGGAGTGTTCTGCTGTGGCCCAGCCCCAGTCAAAGCAATCAAGGATCGGCGTATCGACCTGTTTTTTGACATCCCCTTTGTCTACGCCGAGGTGAACGCCGACGTCCACTCAGTCGTAGTGAGCGAGGGTCGGGTGGTCAGCCAGTACACGGACACGGAGAGAGTGGGATCCCTCATCTGCACCAAAGATGTTGGCTTGCCCAGACACCAGAACATCACAGGAGACTACAAATTCATCAAAAGTATGAGCCAAAAACAGAAATCCATTCATCAAGCGGCTTAATGTTTGCTCTAAGGCGTGAATACTTACGTTTTTCTTTCGACCTTCACAATATAGGCCCGACTTCAACGCTTTCATCGAGAAGTTCCACAGTGTCAGAGGACTCGAGCAGAGGTAATTTTGAATTTTGAATGCGATAATCAGACTCGTCATCTGTTCAAACTCATGTCATCTCATGCACTGGCTTTCTTCATGTTCATTTCACAGGCTCATCCAGGGGCATGCTAGTAGTCCTGATCCTGGATAATGCTCCTGTTGCCGGGGAGCCCGTCCACTTTACGGTGAAAATCATCAACAAGGGGAGGGTGGCCAAGAGGATGAAAGTGCATCTGAACGCCCAGGCTAAAGAATACAACTACAGCCCATCAGACACCTTCTGGGAAAACCACGGTGTCGTACAACTGGCACCCACGGAGGGTAAATTCCCTTTTTTCACTCATCTACAGAATCAAACTTTTACTTCTGAGAGATTGTGGTTTTAATTTCTTTCTGCCTCTGTCTTTCCAGTCAAGTTTATTCACCAGCAGATCCTCCCAGCACAGTACGAGGATGTGGTGGGTGACGACTTGATCAACCTCGCAGTAGTCCTGGAGGACTTGGCCAGTCATGAGCGAGTCCTGGCTTCAGAGGAGTTCAATATCGCCGGCCCACAGCTCACCATACAGGTATTGTATTTCAAATTGTTCAAACATGCATATCTTTAATTTAATTAATTTAGTAAAAATCTTCACCAAATATGTCTTGCCAAACAAAGGGGTATTGTATGAAATTATTACAAAGGCATCTAAGAATATTTACTTATCTGATGTGATGGTGCAACTTACAGAATGTATTGTTATTACACAAATTCTACAAAAAAATTAGATGTAGAGCTCTTGAAACTGCCTGAAACAGTAAATTTAACATTCCACACATGCAGTTCACGCTCACACGCCATACACACACACGTGCTATACAGATAAACAGCAATGAAAAGAAAGTAGTAAATAGTAGTAGTAAATGGAAGTGGCATATTAATAAAAACTATATTACCTGCTGTTCAAACTTCATTCCTGTGGTGTGGAGTGAAATTTCAGAGTATTTGAAGGGTCATTTAAGGGGATTATCAGGGTTCACTAACTTCCTTTGTCCTTCAGATTGCAGATGAAGACTCGATTGTGCCTAACAAAGAGCAGGCTGCCATAGTGACCTTCACCAACACATTTTCTCACCCGGTGAGCGGAGTACTGACTGTGGCTGGAGCCGGGCTGATTCAGGGCAAGGCCCACTTCAGGTAAGAACGAATGACTTCTTGTACATGTTGATTGTTGAATGACTTCAGTGATTTGTGCACTTTATGGATGGCTGCAAAACAAGGAATGCTCAAATATAGGAGTGCCACTTTGACCTGACAGAGTACAGTATGTCTTTATTGAAGGAATGTAGGCTTGTTACATTTGTACTGTTCCGCTTATGTTTTTTTTCGGACAGGCGTGGCGAGGACAAAACAGAATGTTCCTCTGCTGTGTTGATAATTACTTACTGGCACTGAAGGTTTATTTTTGGCTGCTCGGGTGTGTGACCTATATAGTCTTATAAGGCGTGCTCCGTTTAGACAGTCACACAGTTATAGTCATAGCGTAGCTCTCACAAACAAACTCGGAGCCAGTGTCAGCCACCCGCAAACATTAACAGTGTGTGAACTCATTTATATCTTCTCTGTCTCTTCCTGCAGGATGCTCCCTCTGCGTCCAGGCAAGAGCGTGACGCAGCGCATCACCTTCAACCCCAACAAGGTGGGAACAAAGATGCTGCAGGCCAGCCTGTCGCTCTCAGACATCAACTCCACTGTCAGAGGCTTCAAGATGGTCTCTGTCAGCAGAGCTTGAATCCTGTTTTTGTACATTTGTTTTTGCGCTCAGGCGTCACATTCAGGCGTGACTTTTACATTTCTGTCAGTGTAGTTTTGCTTTTTTAATTTATGTTGTTCAAATTGTCAACCTTCACGTTTTTCTATTGCTTTTACATGTGAATGCAATTTATATTTATTTATTTATATTAATGTTACTTTTTTACTCGGATAATTGTGCTGTTTGTTTTATTTGAAAAATAAAAAAAATCATAATATTTACAGTTGGCTGTGTTACTTTTCTTCCTTCTGACTCAAATATACAGAATTGATGTTGTTGCAGTTCTGTTCTCTGCCCTGAAGAGGGAGACCTTTCCTCAAAAGAGGTCACCGTCATTCAGTCTGAATGTAAATGCTTCTCAAACGTCTTGATAATTACATGTAATTCCAGCAAGGATCATTCAACAGTTATTCATTTGTCCTTCAGTCCCTCTGTGGTAACTCTGTGAAATGAAATTCAACTCACATTTCCCAACATTGCAATTAATTTATTTTTTATTAATCTATTTTATTAACTGTCAAAACAAAATCGACAATAAAACATTATATACAAATCATAGCTAAGCTGACAGGCAGAATAATCGGCACATGCACAACCAGTTCATCTATATTACAAACGGGTTATTTAGGAAATTACACCGGGAGAGAAAAGAAGAAGAGTTAGAACACAACATGTACAACCCAGAATCAAAAGCAAGGATTCAAGCACCGGCCTATAATACAACATCTTCAAGACAACTTCTTATCAAAACAGTTTGGGTCTTTGAAGGGGATATTTTTATGCTGCACTCCCAAACTGTTTATACCTCATTGTGTTGTAAATTTAACCAATAATAAATAGCTCACATTATAATGGTAAAATACAATCAGGCTATTTTAAATAGCCTCTACATATGAGGAGAATATTATCTGACATTTTCCTAGCCAATGTGAATAAAACAATTCTAAAATAATAATGAAGGCAAAAATCTACCCCACGTGACATCATAACTTTAAGTCTTGTTTCTAATTCTGTCTTTAAAATGGTGTCAGTCAGTGGAAAACGGGTTTAGTCTCACGACAAATAATAAAAGACACAGCAGAACAAACAATCTAACAACAATCTCAACTTGTTATCCATGCAGACATACTCGCTGTGTTCCATAAACAGGATGTACAATTTTGCATTCAGTGCATCACTTTTTTTTTGTGTACAAAAGTGGGACACACCTTTCATGAAGTTGAGATGAACTGAATTTAAAAAAAGGAAAAGGTATTTTAAAAACAATTTATTTGCAGTATTAACCATAGTTCCCTGGGGTTAGTTATGAAGCTTTGGTCCCTTATTTGTCTTTGGTCTTTTATTTTGGTCCAGCACTTTTGGTTTCATGTGTCTCAGATATACTGCAGCCTCGCTTCCAAATCCTCACAGTTCCTTTGGCTTTAAAGTGAAATTGTCCACCTGGGTGCTCATTAGGGATCAAATGCCTTGTGCCAGACCTGAAGTGAGACTGTATCAGTTTCTGGGAGCAGCTTCACCTCCTAGCTGCACTCAGGAGTTCAGGAGCTTCTCATGATTGAGTTGGAAGAGCAGAGTGTGACAGCTGGCGCCCTCTAGAGGTAGTCCAGCTCCAGTGCATGGCTCAGAGCCTCAAGATCGGCTCGACAGGACACCCTCCAGAACGGCATGTTCTTCTGTGAAAACAAAAATGTAATAAAAATTTAATGCAGGTTTAATGTAAAACATGCCAACTTTTCACTGCAGATTCAGTGCAGATGTGAATTATGAACTGTGGTTTGGAGGGGAATTACAGTATGTGACCAAGTTCACGTGGATAACATGTTGGCCTACAATGTACGAAAGCTTAATGCAAAAAAGATTTGCCAAACTGCCAAAACCAAGGAAAATGTCTGACATTTCAATGCAAATATTATATGTAAAAAAACAATCTACGAGACAGAAGCAGCAGAAATCCAGTGTGTCTTAGAGCTAAACTGATTAGTTGAGGCCCGTGTTTCAGCAGTCACAGTCCTAAAACACAGATTGAGCTGTACCTTCTTGGCCACAGACTCTTCTTCGGCTCCATCTCCTATCACCACGTACACTGCTCTCCGGCCAAACCTCTGAGAGATACGCTCAAAACAGCTCTCTTTGCCTTCAACAAGAGGGACATTTCAGAGTTAAAAATGTTAAAAGACTAGCTTTGAAGAAATAATTTTTTGATTAATCATGATTGTCACTATCTCTGAACCCTTCTTTGGTAAATTGTCCTCACCTGTCTTGGTGGCACTGTAGATGTTCTCTATGGGGAAAGCTGCTCCCAGACCGTACAGTAACACTTTGGAGAGGGCTGGGATGAGCTGGGTGGTGGTTACCAACACATTCACACAGTTAGGCCTGGGAACAGGACAGGACAGACACATTTAAACTACGGTTAAGTTGTGACTCATTAAATGACACATCAAGGAAGGACATTGATCCAGACAAATCCTAATTAAACTAAATACTGAGCAGCTACCAGTTAATGGCAGCATTAACTGACCTCGAGTTGATGAGAGCCAGGGCTTTGAGTGCTTGGGTCAGCCACAGGTCAGTCAGGACCTCCATCTCTCTCCGCAGCTGTAACCACTCCTCTCGCTTGGGGCTGCCCAGCAAACCTGCCCATCAGGGAGAAGCACAAGCTTGATGGTTAGTCATCGAAAAACAAAACAGGGAGGACATGAACTTGTGAAATCTCCGATGCATAAAGAAATCTAATTTACTGAGACGTTTCAAGACCTTATTTAGACAGCGGGACTGTCTGCAGTCTTTGGTCGGACGACTCTCACACAACATCCTCTAACCAAAACCTCAGACATATGGTCTGCAGCATCGGTAACGCAGCCAGCTGTAATCAGCAGCGCACACAGGCCCGTATCGAACAAGAACTTCTGACTTATTATCCTAGTTGACAAAACAAAACCTGGCTTCTTTTTCACCACATCATGATCCAATTAATGTAACAGGTAATGCGCCAGTAATGAACCGTATTATGTTTACACTATTGGAAGGAGCAGGTGTTTATGGACATGCATTTTCATCTCTAATAGAGGTTTAGCTGACGCACAAGCTGCAGCTTCAAAAATACAAAATGTACTTTTTTGAAGCAGGACGCTTGTATAACTCGATACAGTACCAGCAAAAAAAAAAAAAAAGAGAAAACCCAGACAAATCACTGTGGTCTGAAGCTGAGCTGTGTTCAAATTGAACTCTAGCTTGCTGCCTAGCAGCAGATAAATATAGTGCGTCTATAGTGATATTTATCACAACATTATCTTCCTGTTCATTTCTTTCATTATTTGATATAATTTTGCCACATGTAGTCCTTATTAAACCTCAGAGAAAATAGGCTAATCTAAATATCTATGTTGTCTGTACACAGCAGTGTTAAATAAAATGGCAGCTGGGCTCACCTCCAATGTTATTCTTGTATGTGTTGTAGATCTCCTTGACTCTGCGGTACCGGAAAGCCAGTTTCCTCATCCAGTCCACCCCTCCGTGGACTCCTGACCCCAGGCACAGAGAGCCAGCCCCCGCTGGGCTCTGGAAGCCATCCGACCCAAAGTTGTAAGTGCTGCAGGATCGCAATACAGGAAACAGTCAGGATATAGATCATAAAGACACAAACTGCATTTTTCCAGAGCATCTTATAGCAGCACTACCATTGGTGTTTCAGGGGAGGATGCTTTAAGAGCTGGTACAGCTATATTCATGGATACAGTTTCTTGCTTTAGGGATTGATTCAAGCGATTCGCATAATGAACAAGTAGGCAGCGCTTAAAACATTCATCACATTTAGGGAGCGTGCCAGTGTAACCACGAAAATGTCAGGGACAAGGAGCGCTGTAGAGATGAAAATGGTAGACGCTGAGTTTTAGCTGTGAATGAAAAAGCTTTGTCGGTAACAAATCATGAAGTATATACATTCAGCGCAGCTAGGATGAATATAAAAACATCTTTGAGAATGACGAAGGGCCAAGTTCAATAAAATAAATACTTCAAAAATGTACTTTGGTACAGTCTGGCTCTTTCTCCTAAAAGTATCCTAAAGTGCTTCAACAAGTTTAGCAATAAAACGTCTGGACTGAGGGAGATGGAGGGAATGATAAAGAGATATTTTGATGAGTAACGAAAGCGTTGGATAACCCTGTGACATATTATACGGCTGTGGAAGTCGGGAAAATAAAAGACATGCACATGCTTGCATGCATGAGCCCACACAGACACGCACAAACTCTTTGTCTCATCTGTTGTTTTTCCGCATGTGCACTAAAACCCAGAGGGCAAGTCTGGTTTACAAGCCACAGCAGAGGAGTGTCTCAGCAGAGCTTTAAGTACAGTAACACAGCAGACCCTTTACCTCAGGTCCTGTCCGTTGTCGTCTGATGCCACGTCATCAATATGAACCTGGTCACATTCCTGGGAAATGAAAAGGAGAGCGGATATATCAAGAGATCCATTTCAGAGTGGAGCCCTGTACAGGCAGGTCTCTTCTCTTTAAAGGGAGCCTGCGGGAGTGATAGCAGCTACAGAAAAATAAAAATAAAAATAAGAGCTAACGTAGAAGACAAGGAAGACGGAAATAAGATGTAAGGACACGGGACAGCGAGGCGCCGGAGATACAGGACAGTCAACATGGCTGTGCGATTCTGGTGTAACCACGTAGTAAGTTAAAGTAAATCTGCATTTTTTTCATAGGCTGTCCAACATTTTGGTTTAAAAAATCCACTGAAGAAAGGCCTATTGTCTTTGACAAGCACAGTGGTGTACATGTTGTTCCTCTCTACTGGATTGTCAAGCAACCAAACAGACCACAGGGATTTAAACCACACTGAAACTTGAAAGCGTGGCTAAGGCCAAAACACCTTCAGCAACATGCAGTTAAATCAGAAACTTGAAATAGTTATTAAAATTGGATATTTAGGAGAAAAACAAACGCAATGAGCATCAATCCGTCATAGTTGGCCAGGAGGAAATACACAAAGTATGTCTGACAAAGACTGTCTGTAGTCCAGCTTCAAGCCTCCAAGTCCTACAAGTCCCTTTCACATAATACATAGCCGTGCACACATCAGTGCAAAACGTTTCTAGTTGTAACCCAGCGACCAAGAACAGACAGGGTCTCCTATCACCTTTCAGCCATCTTACGCTAGACAGCCTACCTCATCTTCCCT